AGAGATCCGCCCGGGGGATAACCAAAACGTGAGTTCGCCTTTTGAATATTTCGATTAGAGAACGGTGTGGAACTGAGTATTGGTATACAAGGGGCGGGGGGTGATATTTGATTTACATCGAATACTCTTCCCTTCTCTCGAGATTCGGATTTGTTAACGATCTTGTTGTTAATCTTCGAAAGCTTTGATCCAATGGATTTTTCTCTAAATTTCTTGTACTATTATATGTTATATTATATGGAGAAATATCTTTACGACAGCTGGTTTTAAAATGTTTTTTATTTAAAGAATTATTTATAATCCGAATTACGAAATTTATATAAAAAAAGAAAAAGAGATTGCAACGAGTTAGAATTATTAATTTCAAATATATATAATAATTTATTTTCTGAATATATATCGTCGAATCGATCAATATTCATACGTACGCATGTGTAAACAAAATAGGTGTTACCATTTCAATAAATTATATTATCGTTATATAAATTTGTCGTGCGAAGTCAAAGATTGGTCGATCCTCTGTAACGCGACTTATAATAATTACATCCGTTCCGTCTCTTAAAAATTCGACGATCGATATTTTTAATTTTCCTCCTTGGAAACTCTCATCTCTAAATTAGACTTTAATTCTCTAATTCTATAAACGAGCGAGCAAAAGCAATAATTTGTCCATATATTTTATAACGATTATAACGCGATCCATTCAAACTTTTCAACTTGTTGATAAATTAGACGTGCGTTGAATGAATGAAGTTTATATATATATATATATATATATATAAATAAAATAACACAATTTATCCACGGTTTAAAATATTTATGTACAGTCAAGTTCGCGGTGGAGAATGGTATGGAAGAAATGGACTCGAGTAGCGGCACAGTTTAATCACCTTCTGTGCGGTAATTCTCAAGCCGGTTTTCCACGAATTCATGAATTTCGCGACTGTTTCCCCGTACACGGACGAGCAAATTATTCCACGTAACGTTACACGACCGCGCCGTTTTTGCCGCGTCGCCACGCAATTGCGTACCGTTTGCGTTAGTACGCGCAAAAGAGGCAATTATGCGCTTACGGTGCAGCATTATCGACGACAGACGTACCACGCGCTGCTTCGAGGTCGCCGGGTCGTCGGAGGGTCACCGTCTGCTCAACCGACTTGTACTTTTGTATATATATATATATATGTATATGCGAGAGGATGGAGAGGTTTGCCCATTTGACGGTATTAGAAAAGAAAAAAGATTCTACGAATTTTTTATGGGAATATATTCGAGTCATATTCGAAATCATTGGATATGTCGTAAAATTCAAAAGAAAAAGAAAAAAATGAACGAAGAGAACTCGTGTCTCGTAAACTCTCAACAATTATTAACGCCGCATTTTCTTTTACAAACTCTGTTTAAATTAATTTACAAATCTATACATTAATTATCTTTCTTTCTATTTGATTAGATCATTGTTGAAATCTATAAAAGAATATTTTCTCAATATTTTTCATTGAGAAAATTTCATTTCCTTAATGAACAAGATTTGTAATTTCTTCGTCCAAAATTTCGACGAAACTCTTTGTAAAATAATCTCTACAAAGTAACGTTTAAAGTTTCTGTCGAAGCATTTCATCTTTCTTCCTCGATATCTACATATCAGTCCAATAAAATCCATATAAACATCCTCTAATCCCTTCCTCGACATCCAGAATTAAAAAAAAGATCAATTTTCCTAAAAAGTCTTTTTTCGCAATCGACACGTAAAATTTCTTCGCCCAAAATTTCGACGAAACTTCCACTCTTTGTAAAATCTCTACAAAGCAACGTTTAAAGTTTCTGTCGAAGCATTTCATCTTTCTTCCTCGATATCTACATATCAGTCCAATAAAATCCATATAAACATCCTCTAATCCCTTCCTCGGCATCCAAAATTAAAAAAAAAATCAATTTTCCTAGAAAGTCTTTTTTCCCAATCGACACGTAAAATTCAAAAGAACTTTTCGCAAAAAATCCTCGCTCGAGATTAAAAAGAAATTCCTTTCACTTTTTCTCAACTTTATTTTTCTTTACTCAACAACACCCAAAATCCAAAATCGATTAATTTCTTCTAAATACGCGTCCAATAAATCCCGGAACAATGGCCAAACCGACAGGTCGATCCTTCTTCTTCTCTCAAGGGTCAGATGTTACCCGTGTGTATGCGTGTCCCGAACGAGCTTGCGGTATCAGTGTTGCGGGGCCCGGTTCGGAACCGGAATCGGCATTCCTCAAACCGGAAATCGGGCGTATCGGAAGAGCGTGTGCGTGTGCTCGAGACCTGTCGGCGCTCGAACTCGAAAGACAGGTCTCGCTGGTGCGTGGCGGGTCGGGTCACTCGTTTCGATTATTATTATTGTCAGAAGCGGCCGGTTCCAGCTCCTCTTTTCTCTTCTCTCTCTCTCTCTCTTCTCCTCCGCTTTTTCCGGGCCGGGCGAAAGAAGACCTTTTTTCCTTGGCACGCATTCACGCACGCACGTCACCTGTGCACGCAGCACGCGCCACTCTCGTATGCGGTATGCATATGTACGCGGCTTTTTACGAATTTAAATGCGAACAGCGTGGACCGGGGGGTCGAGCTTCCGCCATTTTTCTCGTCGCGCCTCCAAGCTTCCTCGTGGATCCGAGATGGATCTTCTCCCGGAAGAGGAGATTTCTTTTGGAACAAAAATTCTCTTTTATTACGGTTGGTTTAATTTTGCTTCTATCTTTTTTTTGTAATTGGAATTGTTCGTATTGAATCCTAGTCTTTAGAAGGGGATTAGTTACTTTTGATAATGTGTGATATCGTGTAATGTCTTCTTCTTGTAACGTGTTTACATTTTAATGTTCGAGGAGGAGGATTATTTTTCTGTTTCTTCTCTGGTCTCTTTAAAAATTGAAGCTTTAATTTCTGAAGGATTTTTTGTCAGAGGGGGATAGATATAGTGGTTCCTGGTTTTGGGAAACACGAGAAGGGATTTGGTATGTCGGACACGTGTCGCTTTCGAGGATCTTGATTTTGATGCGAATCTTTTTTCATAAAAGTTGCTCGGGATCGTTGATCTTAATGGTACGCTTCTGAACTATGCTTATAACGTCGAAATGTGGGTTTAAACGTTCCCGCGCTGTAGATTCGTGGAGTCGTTTCCCTTTTCCTGGAAACCGGCCAAGTTTGATATGTCGGGCATGCCTAGCCCCTGCTTTCGTAGATCGTGATCTCGATCCGTGACTTTTGTTACGTTCTTCCTCCTCTTTTTTGGGCAGAGGAGGATTTTAGGCCCGCGTAGATTGATGGATCGAACGGATAAAATGGTCGAAATTACACTTTACGATATGATTGATACGAGGAAAATTATTCGAATCTCTCTTTTCTTCGATAATCAAAATTTATAATTATCCAGGGTGTATTGATAAAACATCAATCTACGATTCGAGCGAATAAAACGATAATTTATTGTATAATTATCCTTCGTTCCAATAAAAAAAAATCTATCTATCCCAACATTTCCAACGTCTCGATAAATTCCGTCTCGTTTCGACGCGTGTGAAATCTATCCATTTCATATTTCATCTTCTTTTTAAATTATCACTGAATCGTTAACAGTGGAATCGCCGAGTGTCAGTGGGGAATTCGCGTTTTTAGGTCTTTGCCCGCAGAAATCGTACGGATGACCGCTCGAACTCGTCTTGGTCTAGTCAACACCGTGTCCATGGAACCGGCTACAAGGATCGCGAGGTCAAAAGCGTACTTGACACGTCGTCGAGGCTGTCGTGATCGCTGTTAAGCCGTGTAGCAGTGATAAAGTCGCAGATTTTCGCAGGGGGGTTGGCAGAGACCAAAGAGAAACCGGACTTTCCGTCCTCGAAACAGGAAGAGCGTTAACGTCGAAGATCGGCCCTGAGGATTATTATTCCATATCACTTCAGCAGCTTCTCGCCTATTTCGTGGTAAAGAAAATTAACGATCCTTTCCTCCCTTTTTTCGGTAAGATATTGTAAAAAAATTGTTTTTTTTTTTTAATTTGGAAAATGTTAAAATTTTGTTTTCTACTTTCTAATCAGCGGACGATAATGTGGAGTGAATATATAGCGAGGGAACAGGTTTCTCCGTGATAATTACACCATTTGCTCCATCGCTTATTAACCCATTAAAACCGTGCAACGAAATAATGCGTAAAAATTGCGAAATAACGAAACAGATATTATCGAGGGAACGTTTATCGTATTTAATTAATATATATACATGTAATATATTAATGTATATATATATATATATTTTTTTTTAAAAATTAGAAAACTATGTGATACTTTGCACAAGTATCGGAGAGATAAAAAGAGATTTATGATTTATGAAAAAATAGTTTATCATGAATAAATTTCTTAACGCTTTATAAAATTATATCTAGGTGAAAGAAAAAAATATTCTAAACTCCCTTATGTAACTTTCTCACGATTACAAAACATAAAAACATAGAAACTCAATAATAATACAAAATGAATGAAAAAGAAAAATCGGTATTGGATTTCAAATTAAAATTAGAATGCGATAGAGAAATTTCTCTGGAGAGATACATAAGGGAGAGAAACAAAATATTCTTATAATTCACGTTAAGGAGAATCAGTCAACTTATTATTAACACCCCATTATAAAATATCCACGATGAGGGACTCCCTTCTCTTAATCTTCCTTCGAGAAATCACAAACGACGTAATCAAATCTATCCGATACAAAACGTTCGATATACACTTTCCAAAGTTCCTCCCCTGCACCCCTTTCACCTCTTTCATCACGTCACATCCCTATTTCCAAGCAACGTTCACCTCCATCTCCGTGTTCATAGTTCAACGGAACCCTTTGCATCTCTATCTCTTCGATCTCACGTCTTATCGTAACAGCCTTCCTTTCCAACACTCAACAACAAACTTCTTCTCCCGCGATTGCGGCATCGCAATATTCCCCTAGGAAATTAACCCATTAAAAGGAGAAAAAGAAACCCTGCCTAAGTCCGGTTCTAAAACTCTGGTCTGGTTGAAAAGTCGTGGAGAGGGGAGGGGAGGGGGAGGGGGGGGGGGAGGGGGAGGGAAAACGAGCGCGGGTGCGTTTGAGGAGGGAGGGGTGGGGGAAACGTTTACGGCGTTTTGTGATCATAAATTCAAATAAAGGGGAACTCGCTCGCGTTACGTGTCGGGCATAAAGCACCGGCGGACAGCGAAAACGGGCCGTGCCACTCGTCCTCCGGCCGATTCTGGTTACGTACCGGGGCCCGTTTCGTTTTACGACGTGACACGAGGCCCTCGTCAAGTGGGTCAGAGGCCAGCCTTGGTAGTGGGCACGCCAGGTTCCTCGTAGTTCCACTGATCTCCGCGTAACGATAAACCGGCAAACGAGACGCGTAATAAGGAGTTAAGGCAGAGCTACACGTCCACGGGGGTACGTGGAGAAGGGGTGGCCGCCAGTTTCTTTCGCTACACACATACGTACTCTCTTTCTCTCTAGCTTTTATAGCCACGCATTTTTTTAACCGTTCCTCCTCGCGACGATTCTAAATTTCTCTCTTTTATGATTTTTTGTTTCTTCCGTTTTGTTTTATATTTTTTTGGGAGGGGGGGAGAGAGGGAGAAGGAGGAATCGAGAATTGTTCTTCTTAGAGATGGAATTTCGTTTTTCTTTAAGCTTCATTATTAAATTTTTAGGATCTTTCTTTTGCCTCTTCTCGAGGAATTGATTTTATTTGTATCGAGCGCGTTTCTTGTAACTTTTCGAAATTTCTCTTCTGTTTCTCTTAATTACTCCAAAAAAAAAAAAGATGATTTAAAAATCGAGAATTGTTCTTCTTAGAGATGGAATTTCGTTTCTCTTTTTCTTTAAGCTTCGTTATTAAATTTTTAGGATCTTTCCTTTGCCTCTTCTCGAGGATTTGAGAATTTTATTTGTATCGAGTGCGTTTCTTGTAACTTTTCGAAATTTCTCTTCTGTTTCTCTTGATTACTCCAAAAAAAAAAAAAAAAAGATGATTTAAAAATCGAGAATTGTTTTTCTTAGAGATGGAATTTCGTTTCTCTTTTTCTTTAAGCTTCGTTATTAAATTTTTAGGATCTTTCCTTTGCCTCTTCTCGAGGAATTGAGAATTTTATTTGTATCGCGTTTCTTATAACTTTATTTCGAAATTTCTCTTCTGTTTCTCTTGATTACTCCAAAAAAAAAAAAGATGATTTAAATTCATCACCATTTCTCTCGCGAAAAGAAAAAAAAAAAGAAAAGAAATTCCAACACTTAGTTACGTATCTACGTGACTTCGAAATTAATGAAGTTAATTATCGAACTGTTACGTTCCTCGCCGACCTGTCGCCGAATCGGTAAATGATCCAAGAAAGCGCGAGGAACTCGAGGATGACGCGCGAAACGAGGATACCGGTGTGCAATAATCACCTTTGTCGAGATGATTCATGCGCCACCGCGGCATATAAAAATAGATGCACAATGTATAGCGTAAGCGTAAAGCAAAGATACTGTTTCTTTTTTCACTCAGATACACGGGTAATGATAAAATACGCGCAACCGTAATAAAAAATGACACCGCAATCGTTGCGACTGTTTTTGTCGAAAGTCGGGTTTTTTAATGGCATATGCAACGCACGACTGTCCCGCTACTTGTTTCACACGGTCGCGGGATGTAATAAAACAGGTCTCGTTTTTAATATACGGTATACATCTTGAACGAGAATGGCAAAATGTTTAATTTAATTAAGTAATGAGATCGTTGATTTTTATATATATTTTAAATTTTTTTTTTTTTGCGAAAGTGTTCAAAATGATTAAAATAAGATCGCGATATTAAAAAAAAAGAAGAAGAGATACGTAGAGAATATTTTAAATAGGAATTGTATTTTTATCTGTACACGGCTCGGAATGGCCAATTAGCGTAAGTCGTGTTCTTTGAAAGTGATTTACGCGATTCTCTCTTTTTTTTTTTTTTTTTTTTTTTT